GAATTATGAAGGCCAGACTCAGGGAGAAAAACGTTTTTCTCCCTGAGTCTGGCCTTCATAACTCCATTCCATCACACTTCCCTACTTCACACAAAGATAAAGTGATGGAAGGGGGAAGCATATGCAGACTTACAAGATTCTGTTACTATAGCTGTTACAATAAAAGTAGTTCTGACCTATATGGCATTGGTTTCTTAGTCTGGTCTACCTTGTAGGGTTGACATCCGTGCAGTATCCACATTGAGCCCCCAGTGAAGTGTAAGTGGCAGAATCCACAGGGTAGAACTCAATACAACTTCTTGCACTCAAGGCCACATATTCAGCTGCCAGTCTGAGAAGCACAGTTAAAATTGAGGGTGTAATTAAGACATATCTGCAACCATAAGATCAGCCACAGTGCTTTCTGGAAGCATCCTAAGAATATCAGCTTCCATTTCTTGGAGGTGTCAAATCTAATCTGCAAAACTCCAGATGACTACTAGAAGGGAGAAAACTCTACATCATACAGTGGTCATCTGGAGTTCTGAAGCTTGGATCTGACAGCCCTGTCATTTCTTAACCAGATAGGTTTTTAACATATGATATTGAGAAAATGAGCAAGTTGTGCTTAGAGGTAACTTGGAAGGCAGAAAGTGAGACTGAAAAGCCTTCTCTTGGACAATATAAGGAACTAGTGCTTTTGCATGGTTCCCTTTTTCTTCCCATGGATAGCAAATGGAGAAGGGAGTACAGCACTTTTCTTGAGCAATAGAAGCCTTGTGGAGCTGCATTAGGCATTTTGGCTCTATAGATAATATATTTACATTTGAGAAAAAGTTATACTGTGTATCGGGGAAAAGTCATCTGGAGGCTATGCTAGCTTGTGGAACTGGTTGGTATACCACTTTCTTGCCTCTCCAGGAGTACTGTATATAACACATCTAAAAATCAAATGCAATTCTGAAAAGGTCCCAAGCAAGCACTAGATCAGATAAACTTACAAGTCTTAAAAAAGGATTGTTGGGCTTGGAACAGTGCTCACCTGAAGTAGAGTCAAATATAACTCCAGTCACTCAGTTTTCAGTTACAGAAATCAGTGTGCCAAGCAAATTTAGAATAAGACATATAAATATGGCCAGAAGATGACAATGGCAACTCACTTCTGTATTGTTGCCAAGTTATCAGGAGTTGAGCTTGACTCGGGGGAGCCTATTTTTGATTGGGATGTGGTGAAGTTTGTTCATTAAGAGAACAAAACATACCAACTTCTTTTATACAGCCCATTGTCGTCTTGACTATGTGAATTAGAGGTACCTTCCAGTTTTCTTTCCTTGCATGACTCTGGAGTTTGTTGTATCACACTTGTCACTTCATATGTTAACTTGGAATTGGCATTTGATCCTGAAATTCTAACTTTGCTAATCACTTCTCTTAAAGTGATTAGAAACTCAGCATAGGAAGGTATGAAGGTTAAAGAGCCAAAGTGTTATACAGTATTGGCTAAAATTGTCAAGAAATCCCACTGGGTTACTTGGGGCCAGTCTCTATCTCTCAGTTCAACCTATTCCTCAGACGTATTGCAGGAAAAATTAGAAGAGAGAGTGCCATGTATGTTTCCTTTTGCTCCTGGAGGAAAAGCAGGATATAAATTTAACAAAGAAGAAAACACATTCATTGTACTTTGGCATCTCAAAGGCATTCTCCCCATTTTAAAGTATCAATACCTTTCCGATCCATTGTTCCTGTCTTACCTGCAATAGTTTCTACTTCTGATTGGAACATTACTTCCAGCCAAGATATCTAACAAGCCATTATTGGGAACAGTAATCAGAAATTTTCCCTTCTGTTCAGACTTGCCATATCTGATGGCCAATAAGTGGCATCAAACATTTATCTCTTTGCTGCCAGCTTGTGGTTGTCCTGATTTTTACAGCCCCTATATGATCTGTTTACTCTTGTTCATCTCTTTGCAACTGATATTCAGAAGGATTCTAGCACGGGGGGCCCCAACCTTTTTGAGTTTCTGCAAATTCAGTTTTCACATTATGGATGTCTCTGGAAAATGGGTCAGGGAGGGCATGCCCATTCACAAAATATAGGGGACAAAATCAGTTATAAAGCAAGCAGGGTTACAGGAACACTCTCTGCAATTTTTTCCAGCTCTTCTCTACTTGCAGGAAGCCTTCAAACAAGCACTGGTTGTTTTCTTGAAAAGCTTATAGGAAATCTGTTTGAGTCCTAGAGACATTCCTGATGATGGTGATGATGGAGGCTGATGCTTTGCTTTACTGTGTTTCGAAAGTCAGATGAGACAGGCAGGCAGTATGATGATAGAGATATCTATGGGTAGGTTGGGATCCCCCACCCAACACTTTATTGAAGACCCTGAACAACTGTGTTTAATTGATCTCGATCTCTCTCGTTTGTTTACTTGCTTTTGAAGCCTTCAGTACTCTGGTATTCAATACAGTTTATGGCAGCTAACTCAGTAGGGCTACCACATGCACTCTGCAAATGTCCAGATGATCACTAGATGGCAACCAAGTTACAGAAAATGCTAACTTTTTGCTAGTGGTTGTCTGGATTTATTCAACCCACATATGGTGGGCCTATTCATGTGTTAAGAAGCACTTTCTTTTGTTGATTTTTAATCTGTCACAAATAATCAGTGACCACACTAACGCCTAGAAATAAGCTTGGAATTCTAGTTTATGTGAGCTTCCCAGAGTCTTGTCATTGGAGCAGAATACAAAGTGCAAAATAAACATACAAACAAACCATGATCTGAATGAACTGCATGCAGCTAGTTTGTGACTCCCATTACACAAACTGGAAGGCAAACCAGGCATGGTTAGGTTAGCATGAATTCCAAATTCAGATTTAAACCAGTGTCTGCTGTTGACTTGTTTGGATGCAATATATTCTGAGTTCAGATGTCACTTTAAGATATTCATGCTTGGTTTGGTTTCCTGTTTCTATGAACAGGAAGAATAAACTTAGTTTATTATATGAGTGAATGCAGCTAGTGTCACTGAGTTCTAATGCTATGAGAAAAATTATCTCATTCAACCTCTTGATTTATGAACTTCTATTTATCCCAATCAGTAAAAGATGGTCATATTAAACTAAATAGAGATCTCTCAAAAGAGAAGACACAAATTGAACTGGAACAGTAGCTCCATGGGATAATTTACCTTCTTTCCACTTCTACTGTTTTGTGATCTGAATAGCCTGTTCTCAGCTATTCTTTGTCTTGTTACAAAAATAACATATGTGATACATATATATTTTTCCTAAATGAGCAGGTAATAGCTGGGAAATAATATGCAGGGCAATCCCATGTAATACATTCTATTGAGTTTAATGGGACTTACTTTCAGTTGAGTATGCTTGTGTAGGATTATAACCATAGGTTAAAAATAAAAATGAGGGGCTAAGCCTCATTTTCCATCCCCAGTGACAGAGGTCCAGCCTAATCTGTTTTTATGAGCAGCAGAGAGGTGCTGTGCTTGCCCGAGACCAAAAGCACTTCTAAATTATTTTCAAAGTGTGCAAGCCCTACTGGATGATAATTTCTCAAGGAATAGTTGTAATGCAAGGGCATGGGGTTTGACCACTTGACCCTTGAGGTCTCTTCTATTTATTTATTTTTTTATAGTTTCAAACTGCTTTAGCCCTTCTTCCCAGAGGTCCTCTGAATCTTATGGTTTATTTGATTGCTCTCTCTGCACATTTTCCAGAGGAATCACCTGTCTTTCAAACTTGGCTGCCTGGACCAGTGTCCCAGGAATGATGCTGGGGTTCACTCACCATGCTAAGCCAAACTATGACTTACTTGTTTGCAGCTTAGTGCATTGTGTGAACCCCACCAGTGTGGTTTATAAATCATGTTTCATTATTTTAGTGTGTTATGTGAACCCAGTCGGTCATAGTTTATGACTTCAACCCAGCCAGAAAGTTGAAAATGACTTGAAATTTTTAGTATCAAAAAGCTATCATGGGGTCTAAGGTTCATGGTAAAAAGTCATGTTTAAAGTGACTAGGAATGTTCTTTGAAAGAGCACTAGGAAAGAGTATCAGAATCTCTTTTTTGGCAGGAAGAGAACAGAAGTAAATTTTTAAAAGGTGACTAAGTTCCATATTTGGTTGCACTGGGGTATGTTTCTTTACCCATCTTTTGATGCTGATGTTTCAATTTTAGTACTTTGCCTGTGTCTAACACTTCCCCTCTCCTCCGTTGTTGTAATTTTTAATTAAATAAAGGAAAAGATGTGTATATTTTTGGCAATCAAGTTAATGTAGCTAAGATATATTTTTTCCATG